GCAGGAGAAGGATGGCAGAAAATGAGGATGAGGTAGGAGGAGGAGGAGGAGGAAGAGGAGGAGGAGGAGGAGGAGGACGAGGAGGAAGAAGAAGAGGAGGAGGAGGAGGCAGAGGGAGGAGGGAGGAGGGATGAGGGAGGAGGGAGGCGGGAGGAGGGAGGAGGGGGAGGAGGAGGACGAAGGAGGGATGATGGGAGGAAGGAGGGAGGAGTGGGAGGAGGAGGAGGAGGAGGAGGGAGGATGAAGGCTGCGAGTGCTTCGTCCGCAACAAGTACCCATACGTGCTACCACACCCACCCACCTCCAGGCACCACTGTCGCATTACACGATACTGCCAGCAGAGCCGACCAAACGACTCACCCCCCAGGGCGCCACAATAACACACTCATATTGACCACCATCACCACCAGGGTTGGCAACAGCACTTAAACAGAGACATGGAGCCACTATCGATGATTAACGGGACAAATACAACGACGACATTGATTTTCGCAATGACTTGGTCCTTGTCGTCCAGTACGTCCACGACAGGCTTAGGCTACACAGTACAACGCCAGAAGCCCAAACTTCCGAAGCAATTGCGATACAATCACAGTGATTGCATACATCCATGAGAGGAGACTGGGCCGTGGAGTTGCCAAGAATGGCGGCATTGCTTTACAATATCAGCGGCCAAGAGCCACCTATACACCAAACCGTAGAACACATTTGCATACGTACGACATCAAACTCCCACACCAGCAGCGCAACTACCAACACTGCACTCATACAGACATTTCATCCGAATGATCAGGACAGTTTCTCAGAGGAGGCCGGGACGACCAACGCTCTTCAAGTTGGCGGCGCAGAGGAGCCCCAGGCGCGGTCGGCAGGTCAAGGTGCCAATTGTGAGCGAACTTAATAACCGAACGCGCCATGGTGAATACGGCCAATCAAGGCCGTGCAGAAAAATGGTAGAAACATGAAGCGCTGTGAATCCAAGGTGCAGCGGCCAACTAAACAAGGAACATCAAACTCGATTCGAAGAGGTTGAAGCGCCAGCAGCAGTCTGGTGCTAATGGGTGCCACTGAATCATCGGGCTGGTGTTAGACAGTGAAGACAAGCAACAGAAGTGTGTAAAGCTGCCAGCCCAGCCGGAATAATCAACACAAGCCCAGAAGAAACTACGACCTGGCGAAACTAATGTGTAGGGTGCAAAATACGTGCCAGCAGCGCCCGATGAATTAGCATAACTGAGTGAAGTGCCATATTTGGTGGTGACGGAGCAGCGCGCGTAGAAGGGCCGCACTGGCAGGGCCGGAACCAACCAGACGAGGCCATGCCGTGAAATCCTCGGTGGGTCGCCGCGCCGCCCAAAAGAGGCCAGTGCCAGCGGCGCGCCCAGGCTGGCCGAAAATGAGGCTGCAAGAGAGGCGCCGACCAACGTGAATTGGGTGGGTGCCGCTTGCGCAGCAGGTGAAGACGCGAGGTGCGTTGTGCGCGCCGACGTCCAGGTCGCCGCCAAATCGACCGAGGACGTTTCAGACAAGACGCAGAAAGTGCTGCGAGGCGCGCGGCAGGCCCAGATGAGGGCCCGCGACGATCCCGAAGAGAAGCGCCGCGCGCAGGACAGACCAGCGGCGGCGAACGCAAGGGGGCCACCCCGAGAGGCTCGCGCCCGGAGCCGGGGGGCCCGACCGAGAGCGAACAGGTCGGGGGGTCCTGGAGACGCGGCGCCAGGAGAGAGAGCTCCGGGCGCTGCGCAAGGCTCAACCCCCGTCGCGGAGACGTCCTGGAAGGAGGGGGGGAGGGGGGAAAGTACAATCAGGACAGAGACAGGAGGGGGGCCCAAATGACGACGGCGGGGGCCCCGCGACGCGGCCGAGCCCGCGACCGACGACGACGGCGACCGAGCGAACCCCGCGACCCACGAGGAGGAGGCAGGGGCCGACATGCCACCGAGGGGGGCGGGGCGCCGCCAGAGGGTGGCAGGGGGGCCGAACAACGGTGTCGTCCTCGCGATCCGCCCACGGGGGGCTTTGATCCAGTTCGCTTGCGGGGTTCGACCCGGCCCGGACTGTCGCGGTCGGGCGACGGAGGCCGCGGCGGCGCACAGCGATTGTTAGCGACCGGGCGGCGCAGAGCAAGTTCGCCCTGTCCCTCCCGGATTTCCGAGCGCCATCCGATCCGCCCATATGCGCTTGCGCTTGGGCGGGGATTCAGCGTTAACGGAAAGAAGGCGTCGGGGGGGTCTAGGGTCTACCGCCCCGGCTCCCAAGGGCCAAAGGGCCCCCCCGCGCCCCGCGTCGCGCAGAGATGGGCGGGCATGGCTCGCCGCGTGGGATCGAGAGGATCGGCGGTGTGGCGTTGACGAGATTCGCGTGGCATCGACCGGGTTGGCGCGCGCAAGATATGGGGGCGAGCGCCCGGACGTCGTCGCCCTGCTCCTTCGCCTCCGCGCTGTCGTCCGCCGCGATGCCAGCAGTGTCCCAAGAGAGGATGGGCCCCCCCGCCCCGCGGCATCTCGCGCCGTCAGCACTGAGAGGCCGCAGTCGCGTGACCCGACCGCGAAGCCCGCGGATTGGGCCTCCGCGGCCGCGTCGACGGCCTCTTTCATCTCGACGCCCCCCTCCTCCTCCATGGCCGCCTCCTTGTCGCCCCCCTCCTCCGCCTCGTCGTCGATCCTTCCGATGCCCGCCTCCGCGACCTTCTCCGCCTCGTCGTCGACGTCTCCCTGCGTTTCCATGCCCGCCTTGATCGTGCCGCCACTGACAGCGCCAGCTGCCCGTGCTCTTTCGCGCGCGCGCTGATCAGGGAGCTCTAGGCTGCAGGCGATTGCAGGCTTCAGCGTCGTGCCCGGTATCCCGCTGCACAGCGCCATCGGCGTCGCCCCAACATGCGCATGCAACGTGTGCGTCGCCCCCGCCGAGGCGACGCGCGCGCCGAGACATCTTGGAGTGTTCCGTCGTGGCGGGCATTTTCTGGCCGCGCCGCTCGGGAAACGATATGCTACAATGTGAGTATGCTACATGTTCGTGTCGGACGCGTGGCCTCAAGGAGGACACATAGTACTAATGTGCCTCTGTGCGCCCCGCGCGGGCAGCCACTGCCCGCGCCTGTCTTTCTCGCGCGAGCTGATCGGGGTACTGGGGCAGATGATGCTGGACTCCAGCTTCGCTCCCACCATCTCTCGGAGCAGCGCCAGGACTGGCTGCCGCCGCGCCTGCCAGTCCTCTCTGCGCGCGCTGATCGGGGCGCTGTAGGAGATATGGTGGGCTCCGTCCTCGCGCCCAACATCTCGCCGTGCGCGTTCGTCTTGCGCGTGCTGATCGGGATGCTGTGGCAGGTGAGGGTGGGCTCCAGCTTGACTTTCGGTATCTTGCTGAGCGGCGCCAGGGATGGCCGCCGTTGCTCCTGCTCGTCGTTTCCGGAGCGCTGATCGGGGTGCTGGAGTGGGCGGTGGTGGGCTTCCTGTCCGCGCGCAATGGTCGGGGGGCCAGGGCGGTCCAGAGGGCGGCCCGAGCCGCCGCGGCGGCGGCCGCGGCGCGGGCGCAGGCCGCGATCGCGGCGGCCGCGGCCGAGCGCGCCAGCTGGCGCGCGCCGACGCCAGGGGTGGGATCGTCAGTTTCGACCGCGCTGCTGGCGCCAGCGGCGCCTGCCGCTGGGCGGCGCGCACGGGCCGCGCCAGCGCGCCTGCGGGCCCTGGCAGCGCCCGGGGCGCCCGGGGGCGACGGCGCCAGCAGCGCCGGAGGCGCTCGTCGCAGCAGGCGCGCCTCCGAAAGCGGCCGCGGCCGTCGCGCCAGCGGCGCCGGCCGCGCGGCGGGCCAGGGGGCCCAGCGCGCCCCGGCGCGCGGCGGCGTTCGATCGCGCCTCTCACAGGAGCAGCGTCGGCGGCTTCGACCGCGCTGACGGCGCCAGCGGCGCCGGCAGGGCGGCGCACTCGGGCCGCGCCGACGCGCCCGGGGGCGTCGGCCGCGCCGGGGGCGCCCGCGGGGGCGAGGGTGCAAGCGGCCCCGCCCGCGCCGATCGCCCAGCCCGGCCGCTCCCGTCGCGCCGGCAGCGCTGGCGGCGCGGCGCCAGAGAGCCCCGGGGGGCCCGTGTCGACCAGGGCGCTGGCGGCGGCGCCAGCTAGGCGGCGACTGGCAGCGGCGCGGGCCTGCTGCCGTCGCCGCGCCGCCGCGGTTTCCAACGCGCCGGGGCCAGGGCGCCGCGCCTCGACCAGGGGGGCGCTCGAGCCCGGGCAGCTTGGGCCAAAGGGGCAGCGGTCCGACCGACGCGCGCGCAGAAACTGCGCCGCCCGCAGCGCGACGGCGCCGCGACGCAGACCGCGCAACGACCCGCGGACCATGGCGCCCACCACCGCAGCTGGCGATTGCTATTGTCTGCCCGCCAACAGGCGGACAACCAATTCAGTTTTCGCGGCTTGTCGACGCGCCGCCTGCGCGCCGCGCGCCACTGATCCAGGGGGTTCTCAGGGCGTACTTTCCGCAGGAGGCACCGCCGCCGAAGCGCGACGGCCAGACGGGTTCCGCGCCGATGCCCGCGGGGGGCCGCGTGTGCGACGCGTGTCGCGTCAGCGACATCGACGGCCCACATCGGCATCAGCATTTTGACAGAGGGGTGCCAGGAATGCGTTGCCGCAGGCGCCGCGCGGCCCTAGGCGGCTCTCAACCGTGCCCGCGGGGGCGCAATGCCATGCAAAACATGTCCGACCCCCGGGCCCAAATTGCCGACGCCCCGACCGGGGCGCGCTCCATGCTGGGGATAGATTGCAAACGCGCGGCATATTCAACATGTCTACGACCTCGCATCATCGACGACAGCTTCTCTCGGTGCGCCAGTGACTGCCGGCTCTGCGACTCCAGAGAGGCCGTGCTTTTTCTTTCTTTTTCCTTTATAGTGCTTGCGCCCCCGTGGATATCCTTCCTGGCCGCCGCCTGTTTTGGTGAGCTTTCGTCTTGGCCCATGGGCGCGTGCATTCTTCTCCTTAGCTGCTTGTCACTTGCGCGGGGTGGCGCGG